ATGGGCAGATCGCTTGAGCTCAGGAGTTTGAGACCAGCCTGGGCAACACGGTGAAACCCCATCTCTCCAGAAAAATATATTTTTTTAAATTAACCGGGTGTGATAGTGCATGCCTGTGGTCCCAGCTACTCGGGAGGCTGAGGTGGGAGGATCATTTGAGCCTGGGAGGCACAGGTTGCAGTGAGCCAAGATTGTACCCCTGCACTCCAGCCATGAGACCCTGTCTCAAAAAGAAAAACAAAAACAACAACAACGAAAACAAAACAAAACAAAACAACCTTAAAACAGAACTACCATTCCATTGTAAGTAATCCCAGTACTCAGTATATACCCAAAGGAAAATAAATCATTCTACCAAAAATACACATGCATTCATGTGTTCATTGCCATACTAGTCACAATAGTAAAACATGGAATCAACCAAGATGCCCATCAATGGTGGACTATATAAAGAAAATGTGATACATATATACACGATGGAACACCATGCCGCTATAAAAAAGAATGAACTCAATGTCTTTTGCAGTAATATGGATGCAGCTGGAGGCCATTATTGTGAGCAAACTAGGTCAGAAACAGAACCAAATACCGCATGCTCTCATTTATAAGTGGGAGCTAAACATTAAATACACATGGACACAAAGGTGGGAACAATAGACACTGGGGACTGCTTGAGTGGGGAGGATGGGAAGGGAGCGTAGGTTGGAAGGCTACCTATAAGGTACTATGCTTACTACCTGGGTGATGGGATCTTGGTATACCAAGCCTCAGCAACACACAGTTTACCCATGTAACAACAACAAACCTGCTCATGTACCCCCGGAGCCTAAAAGGAAAGTAGAAGAAGGAAACAAAGAAACTACCCAATCAGGACTCAGTTATTTTCAGCCAATGGGGACTGAAATTTAAATCCTTTATTTGCATACATAGACCTATTTGAGAGCTACAGAGGAAACTTTTCCTGTTTAGGCCAGTTCCCCTCTTCTCCAGAATGTGGTGCAATTTACACCAGAGGCTGTGTCTCCCCAATCTGCAGATTGTTTTTGTTTTTTAAGAAAATAGTCCGGGTGCAGTGGCTCACACTTGTAATCCCAGCACTTTGGAAGGCCAAGGTCAGCGGATCACCTCAGGTCAAGAGTTTAAGACCAGCCTGGCCAACATGGTGAAACCCCGTCTCTACTAAAAATACAAAACTTAGCCAGGCATGGTGGTGTATGCCTGTATTCCTAGCTACTCAGGAGGCTGAGGCAGGAGAATCACTTGAACCCAGGAGACGGAAGGTGCAGCGAGCCAAGATTGTGCCACTGCACTCCAGCCTGGGCAACAAAACGAGACTGTCTCAAGAAAAAAAAAAAAAAAAAAAATGCTGGGCGCAGTGGCTCATGCCTGTAATCCCAGCACTTTGGGAGGCCAAGGCAGCTGGATCACAAGGTCAAGAGATCGAGACCATCCTGGCCAACATGGTGAAACCACGCCTCTACTAAAAATACAAAAATTAGCTGGGCGTGGTGATGCACGCCTGTAGTCCCAGCTATTTGGGAGGCAGAGGCAGGAGAATCACTTGAACCTGGGAGGCAGAGGTTGCAGTGAGCCAAGATTGTGCCACTGAACTCCAGTCCGGATGACAGAGTGAGAATCCATCTCAAAAAAAAAAGAAAAAAGAAAAGAAAGAAAGAAAATGAAGCTTTCTCTCTTTCCTCCACAGATCTCATGATCTTTTGTTAACATTTCTTGGCAGGGAAGATGGGATACAAAGTGGCCCCTAGCTCCTTCCAAGCATCATCTGGACGAATGCATCAGCACCTGCAAAAGCCCCTTGAGCTCAGTTGTCATCCCATGTACACTGGGGAGAAATCAGGTAAGCCCTCTCTGATCCAAGACCTCTGATTTTTAGGTGAAAGTCTTGGAGACTTTGTTTTCTTCAGAGAGCCTGACCCTATCTAGGGCCCTGCAGGAAATGCTCACACTTTGTGAGGTACACTCACATTTTTGCAGGGTGTGCTCATGCTTTGTGGGGTATGCTCATGTTTCTGATTTTGTAAGTATGTTCACATTTAAAGGCACTGGAAGGGATGCCTTCATCAGGTCAGTGCAGTGGGTAACCCATGTTCTAAGGGAATGGTCTCTAATCAGCCACCTTCTGATGCTCTGGTGGCTTTCATGTTAAACAAACAAACTCTGGAGAAATTCCTACTTTATTTAAGGCTTTAGATTAAATTAGCCCAGGAAAGTTCAAAGACATGCCAAGATATTTTCTGGAACTCCAGCTGGCTGCATATTATGGCCCATTCTTGTGTACATTTTTAAACTGATGGGCGACTTACATCAAGGAAAATTCAGAGTTCAAATCAGCAACCTGCAACTACAGAGTTAAAATGTGGAGTCTTCTAAGTTCTCTATCTCACTATATTTTTCCCTGACTACTTTTAATCTGTTGACTTTTCTATTGATGTTGAGATAAAACTCACTGTTTTGTTTGTTTGTTTGTTTGTTTTGAGATGGAGTCTGGCTCTGCCGCCCAGGCTGGAGTGCAGTGGCCGGATCTCAGCTCACTGCAAGCTCCGCCTCCTGGGTTTACGCCATTCTCCTGCCTCAGCCTCCCGAGTAGCTGGGACTACAGGCGCCCGCCACCTCGCCCGACTAGTTTTTTGTATTTTTTAGTAGAGACGGGGTTTCACCGTGTTCACCAGGATGGTCTCGATCTCCTGACCTCGTGATCCGCCCGTCTCGGCCTCCCAAAGTGCTGGGATTACAGGCTTGAGCCACCGCGCCCGGCCAAAACTCACTGTTTATGGTATTACTAATTCCAGGCTACATGGAGATTTTGTTTTTCTTATGCAATTAAGCTGGTTCTAGTTAAAATGTAAACACTCAAAATTTAACCATAAACTCATTTGAAACTGAAGGGAAAAGAAGGGGCAAAAGAGGTTTTTAAAATCAAACTCCAGTGAAAATATGTGGGCTTACTAATTCACAAACACTCATTTATTTGTAAGTCAATTAATTTGGTGGTACCAAGAAGACACAATAGATTCTGATATGTTCATATATGTAAACAAATCTAGATACATACAAATAAAGACCTTATAGCTTTCAAAATTTTGTTCCCTCATTAGATGACCTATTGGAGCAAATAAAGTTTAGCCATAAATCAAGTCCCAATTTTATTTAAAAAAACAATTTGGATCCAACTGTCTTTTATAAACCAGTGAGTTTGTATCACTATCTCATGACTAAAATTCTTAAGTGAAAGATATAAGCTCTTTATTTGTATGTGTGTATGTATCTAGATGTGTTTACATATATGTACATATCAGTATCTATTTTGTCTACTTGGTACCACCAAATTGACTTGCAAATAAATAAGTGTTCCTAAATTAGTAAATCCAAATATTTTCCACGCTCTTGTTACTTAAGTAAATCTTTAATAAATAAACTGGGTTTTAAATTGTTGATAAAATAAAATGAAAACGTTTCAGAATTGAAATGTCTTCAGAATTGTCAGCATACATTTTTGCCTGGGTATAGTGGTTTAACGGTTTTATATTTGCCTTTGCTAGATATTTTAAGGTGTCAGAGTTTGGCACAAAGTTTATAAAACTATAAATCTAGCCCAAGATATAATAATTTTTGTTTGTGTGATTTTTTTATAATCAAGTCTAATTTAATATTGTTAGTTGGTTTAATGAAAACAGCTGAATCTTCTGAGTTATTGGCAAAATACCCAAGTATTCAACTTTAAGATTCTTACTTAAGTAAAAACCTGATATTAACAGGCTATAAAAGTGGTTAACCAGAAAACAACTTGAAATGATGACTAGTTTTGCCTAATATCTCAGTTGTTATAAATAATCTAGGTAAATTTTTAAAATTAAGTAGAAGTAAACAGAGCAGCCACAAATGTCTATATATAAACTTTCATGTAATTTGAAATCATAAGGTTATGCTAAATTAAATAATAGGGCTGGGTGCAGTGGTTCACAACTATAATCCCAGCACTTTGGGAGACTGAGGCAGAAGGATTGCTTGAGCCCAGGGAGTCAAGGCTGCAATGAGCCATGATAGTGCCACTGTGCTATCCTATCTACCCACTAGCCTGGACGACAGAGTGAGACCCTGTCTCTTAAAACAAAACAAAACAAAACAGCAAGAAAAGATAAATTCAATGATCCTAACCCTTGCCTTTTCCTGTATATAAAATAACATTTGACAAGATTAATGATTATTCCTCTGTACTCTATTATCAGCTGTACTCTCAGGCCAAAACTTTGAAAAGATTTTTCTCTAATGTAACTTCTGAGTACATTTGATGCAATTTCTGAGTACATGAAAAACCTCCACAACCTGTATATAAGCTGTGGGCTGAAACATGGCTTTGCAGCAGTCTGATCAAAACTCTCTACAAGACTCCTCCTGGCTTACAATCTTTAGTAAGATTGAATAAAATGAACCTTAATGCTTTCACCATTTGATGTTTTTAACCAACAGGCCAGGATTGTTAGTGGCTTTGGGATCTTTGACATGTCTCCCAAGTAGGAGATTGGGGAACACAGAGTATGCACTGAATACTTTTATTGATCTACCCCGAATGAACTAAACAAGGCTACTGCTGACCTCTGCAAAGGCAGTTTGGGTGGACAATGGGGTTAGAAGCCAGAGATTCACATTCACAAATATTTTTGTGAGCCAACTTATTGAGCACTAAATTGGGACTCAAGTTAAATTTACTTCCATTAAATTTGAGGCACAGGCCTGGCACAGTGGCTCATCCCTGTAATCCTAGCACTTTGGGAGGCCGAGAAGGGCAGATCATTTGGGGTCAGCAGTTTGAGACCAGCCTGGCCAACATGGTGAAACCCTGCCTCTACTAAAAATACAAAAAAAATTAGCTGGGCGCGGTGGCGCGCGCTTGTAATCCCAGCTCCTCGGGAGGCTGAGGCAGGAGAATCGCTAGGAACCCGGAGGCGGAGGTTGCAGTGAGCCAAGATCAAGCCACTGCACTCCAGCCTGGCCGACACAGCGAGACTCCGTCTCAAAAACAAAAACAAAATGAGGCGCAAACGGGAGGTGAGGCAGTGAAGTTCGCGAGTGCAGACACGCTCAAGGGACTCATTAAATGTCATTTCATTTAAAAAATGAAATTGAGCATATGTGCAAGCAAGGTTCACACCCCATTTAATCTTCACACCACCACGGGGTAGTCACTATTATCCCCTTTTACAAGATTAAAACACTGACGCTGGGAGATTGACAGGGTTACCCCAAATCACATGGAGGAGCTGGGCTTCCCCCCACCTCCTCTGCTCAAGTCTCCCTGTCCCCAAGAGGTGCGGACGGAGGCAACAGCCCCTTGGCCCATAGGTGGAGCAATTGACGAAGGCTTCGCCCGTCGCCGGAACTGTGAGCTCTCAGCGGGAGTCGAGACGGTGCAGGACCCAAGAAGCGCCTTCTTTCCCAGCCTGCGCCCTGATGCTGCGCGTCCTGTGCCTTCTGCGCCCCTGGAGGCCCCTTTGGGCCCGCGGCTGCGCTTCCGACGGTGCGGCCGCGGCCTCCGAGATCCAAGTGCGCGCCCTGGCGGGTCCGGACCAAGGTAAATGCGCCGTCCCGGGGCGCGCCCATGACGCGACTGGAACGAGGCCGGCCCGGAGGCAGCCGGGGGCGGGCAGGCGGGCTGCTCAGTGCGTTGAAGGATTCGATCTCCATTCCCTCCATCCCAGTTCTAGGCGCCCCAAGCCGCTCCAGGCCCGAGAGGTGGGCGGCCGCCTTAGGGGCTCCGGACTGTAGCTGGGGGCGGGAGGCCTCTGGCAACCTCGGTCTCCTCAAAGGCCCTTTGGGGTCTTCCGACTGCGTGGAAGGGGAGCGGGGTCCGCACAGATAGGACTGGGCCCAGCGGCCCCCAGGCCAGGAGCTGTCAAGTGCGCGTCCCCCTCCCCCGCCAAGGGCCCTGGCCCGGTTCGGGGGTGGAAGCAGCGGAGCCAATCCCTGGAGGCGTGCGGCGACAGCTGGGAGCCCAGTGCGACAGCAGGGCGGAGTGAGGAGGGTGCTTCTCCAGCTGCGCCCCTGCCCTGGGCCGCTGGCGAACTTTTGCGTCATCTGGCTCCAGGGAAAAGTTTGCTGCTTCTCCGTCTTTTGGCCAAGATCCAGAGTAGTATGGGGAGGGGGCGGTCAAAGTTCACGGGTCACTGGCAGAAAACGCCTCCGATCGCCTGTTGCGTTTTTGTTGTTGTTTGGACTTGTGGAGCATTCAGTGATACTGAAAACGCTCCTCATTTGCTTCTCCTGTCTTGGGTCTCCTCCCCCGATCTCATCCCCTGTTCCCTGCGTTTGATACACAGATGGCATTGTACTGTACATTTCGTTGTATTGCTTCCTTTTTACTGGCTTAACACCAAGTTTGAAGGGGGGCTTTGCCATAAAATCCAGTTCCTTGCCCCCTGCTGTTGCCCACTGTTCCCAAGTGTGCATCTACCACCTTCAGTGGACACGGACAGGCCACCTAGTGTCCCACTTGATGAGAATTTCCTTGACCAGGTGGGATTGCTGAACCTTATACCCCCAATCTCATGCTTAGTTCACTACCCAACTGGCAACAGCTCTTAAAACAGTCAAGATTAGGCCGGGCGCAGTGGCTCACGCCTGTAATCCCAGCACTTTGGGAGGCCGAGGCGGGTGGAACCTGAGGTCAGGAGATCGAGACCATCCTGGCTAACATGGTGCAACCCCGCCTCTACTAAAAATACAAAAAATTAGCGGGGCGAGGTGGCGGGCGCCTGTAGTCCCAGCTACTCAGGAGGCAGAGGCAGGAGAATGGTGTGAACACGGGAGGCGGAGCTTGCAGTGAGTGGAGATTGCGCCACTGCACTCCAGCCTGGGTGACAGAGTGAGAATCCGTCTCAAAAAAAAAAAAAAAAAAGACAGTCAAGATTATTCTCCCCACTTACAGATTTAAAAACTGAGACACAGAAGGTTAAGTTATTTGAATCAGGTCTGATTTCAAAGCCTGTGTTCTCAACCATTAGGTAATCACTGGCTCTTCTAGTAATTTGGTGACTCAAAATACAGACTTGTACATCTGTAAATACAAAAGTATCATGGGTTAAAGACCTTTAGGCTCACTTGCAAATGTCGGGAATCATTTTATCCAAAACAGAATGACAGGGATCAGCAGATTAAGCCTCTGCCCCTGCCAGAGAGCACGAAGGGCAGGAAAAGTCAGTGAGAGAAGGAGAGACAGAAACCAAGATGACAGTGCAGAGGAGGCATGGGGACGAGATTACACACCGAGCCCTCCCAGGGAATGAGTTGGGGTCATTTGATGTTCACATTAGAAGCTGCGGGTTCTGCCTTCCACTGGGGCTGATAGCACCAGAGTACTGTTACATTTTACCTGCTGCCCTTGAACTTGAGGTTGAGTGCTGAACCACTCTTCACTGTTCTTAGCGGCTTTATTTCTCATACAGTCATGTATTGCTTAACAACGGGGCTCCATTCTCAGAAATGCATCATTAGGTGATGTGGTCATTGTGGGAGCATCACAGAGTGTACCTACACAATCCTAGATGGGATAGCCTACTGCACACCGAAGCTACGTGGCGTATAGCCTGTTGCTCCTAGAATACAAACCTGGACAGCATGGGACTGGGCTGGATACTGTAGGCAGCTGTAACACAATGGTAAGTATTTGTGTATCTGAACATAGAAAAGGCACAGTAAAAATACAGTCGAAAAGATTATTTAAATAGTACGCCTGTATTGGGCAGTTACCATAATGGAGCTTGCAGGACTGGAAGCTGCTCTGGGTGAGTCGGTGAGTGAATGTGAAGGCCTAGGACAGCAGGGACTGGTTTGGCACCAGGGACTGTTTTCATGGAAAACACACGGACTTGCAGGGGGAGAGATGGTTTGGGGATGAAACTGTTCCACCTCAGATCATCAGGCATTAGATTCTCATAAGGAGCGTGCAACAACCTAGATACCTCACATGCACAGTTCACAGTAGGGTTCATACTCCTATGAGACTCTGATGCCACCACTGATCTGATAGGAGGTGGAACTCAGGCGGTAATTCAAGCCATGGGGAGCTGCTGTAAACACAGATGAAGCTGCTCACCTCCTGTTGTGTGGCCCAGTTCCTAGCAGGCCACAGACTGGGATGGGTCCACAGCCCTGGGGGTTGGGGACACCTGGCCTAGGACATTACTGTATACTACTGTAAACTCTATAACACTGTACACCTAGGCTACAGTAAATTTACTTTACAAATGTTTCTTTCTTCAATAATAAATTAACCTTAGCTTACTCTGTTTTTACTTTATAAACTTAATTTTTTTCAACTTTTTGACTCTTTTGTAGTAACATTTTGCTTAAAACACACATTTTACAGCTGTACAAAAAAAAATTTTCTTTCTTTAGATCCTTATTTTATAAGCTTTTTAAAGTTTTAATTCTTAAACTTTTTTTTGTTAAAAACAAAAACACAAGCACACACACACGCCTAGGCCTATCACTGTCTTCCGCCTCCACATCTTGTCCCACTGGAAGGTCTTCAGGGGCGATAACATGCATGGAGCTGTCATCTCCTATGATAATAATCGGGAACACCTACTGAAGGACCTGCCTGAGGCTGTGCTACACTGAACCTTTTTTTTTTTTTTTTAATAAGTAGGAGTACACTCAGCCAGGCCTGGTACAGTGGCTCACTTGGCTCACTCTTGTAATCCCAGCACTTTGAGAGGGTAAGTAAGGCGGGCAGATTGCTTGAGCCCAGGAGTTTGAGACCAGCCTGGGAAACATGGTGAAACCCCTTCTCTACAAAAAATACAAAAATTATCCGGGCCCTGGTTGGTGCATACCTGTAGCCCCTCCTACTCAGGAGGCTGAGGTGGAGATGGCTTGAGCCGGGAGGTCAAGGCTGTCCGATATCAAGGATTCCTGATATTTCATATGGAGCCCAAAGTACCATGAGTGAGCCATGATCATGTTACTGCACTCCAGCCTGGGCAACAGAGTAAGACCTTGTCTCAAAAAAATTAAAAATAAAAAGTAGGAGTACACTCTAAAATAATGGTAAAAAATAATATGTAACTATATAAACTCAAAACATAGTCATTATTATCATATCAAGTATTTGTTCTGCCTAATTGTATGTGCTGTGCTTTTGTACAACTGGTAACGCAGGCTAGTTTACATCAGCCTCACCACCAGCATTTTGTGTGCGCTATGATGCTACAGTGGCACCAGGCAATAGGAATTTTTCAGCTCCGTTATAATCTCGATGGGACTTATATGTCTTATTACGGTCTGTAGCTGACCAACTAAATATGCTGTGCAGAACTTGGCTGTTGCTGGAAGTACATTACACAGGTGGGGCCAGGGTTACTGTCTTGTCAAACAGGACAGAACACCAAGCCTCTGTATTTTAGTGCTAACTTCTTATGATAGAGGAATCATATTGATCTGTCCCCATGACTGTGCGGTTAGCAAAACCCAGGCTTTGAGAACCCTATAGTGAAATGTACCAGGCTCCTCCACAGATAATCTCTGAGGGAAAGACAGGGTCGTGGGGAGCACGTCAGGATGTAACAGGACTTTAAAAGACACAGGCAATTTTAGAATTAGCAAATCTAAACTATGATTACCTAGGATGCACCACCTCCTGGGTGTAAAATTATAAGAAATGGCCAGGCCGTGGGCTCACCTGTTAATCCAGCACTTTGGGAGGACCGAGTGGGTGAATCCACCTGAGGTCAGGAGTTCGAGACTAGCCCCTGACCAACATGGAGAAACCCCGTCTATACTAAGAAATTACAAATTAGTCGGGGTGGGTGGTAACATGCCTGTAATCCCAGCTACTCGGGAGGCTGAGGCAGGAGAATCACTTGAACCCAGGAGGCGGAGGTTGTGGTGAGCCAGGGCAACAAGAGCGAAACTCTGTCTCAAAAAAAAAATTATAAAGAAATATACAGAGGTGATTACTGTAAGTCAAAGAGCTACTTATTCAGGGGGAAGGAGGGAGCTATGATTGAATCAGGGTGTGTGGTGAGGTTCCTGAGGTGGCCGGCACAGTACTGTTTCTTGATTTGGGTGGTGGTTTTAAGAGTATTGGCCTTATAACTCCTCACACTCTAGAGGAAGAAGTCTGCTGTGAAGAAAAGATTAAGGCCGCGTGGTAGCTCACACCTGTAATCCCAGCACTTTGGGAGGCCGAGGCAGGCTGATTACTTGAGCTCAAGAGTTTGAGACCAGGCTGAGCGAGATGGCGAAACCTCGTCTCTACAGAAAAAAAACACAAAAATTAGCCAGGGGTAGTGGCGCATGCTTATAGTCCCAGCTATTTCAGGGATTGAGGGAAGAGAGTTGCTTGAGCCCAGGAGGTCGAGGCTGCAGTGAGCCATGTTAACACCACCGTACTCCAGCCTGGGTGACAGAGTTGAGACCCAGTCTAAAAAGAAAAAACGAAAAACTCTCCCCCGCCAAAAAAAAAGAAAAGATTAATATGGAGGGAGGGAGGGATTTGTAAAATTAAAGAAGGTGCACGGGTGCAAGTATGCTTGTGTGTGTCTGTCTAACAACGGCAGAAGCAGGCGAGGGCTACTGTGGTGGTCATTCTTCCCCTCCCCATTTTGCTCCACGGTTTACAAGCCCTTCCACTTTCTCTCTGAGGCAGAAAGAGCAAGGGGTTTTCCCTCCATTTTATGGTTGGGAAAATTGAGGCCTGCCTGAGTGTGACTTGTGCCAAGTCACTCTGGTCATCTAGGGCAGAGGCTGCCCAGAGCCCAGGCCTCCTGCCTCCAGTCCCCAGCCCACAGCCCAGGATTAGGCAGAGCCAGCTACTTGCCCATGGCTGCCCTGACTCCTTACAGGGATCACTGAGATTCTGATGAACAGACCTCGTGCCCGCAATGCCTTGGGGAACGTCTTCGTCAGTGAGGTAAGAAAGGGTGAGCTGGGGATGGGCCGGGGATGGGCTGGGGATGGGCTGGGAGGATCTAACTGGGTGTCCTCTGTAGCTGCTGGAAACTCTGGCCCAGCTGCGGGAGGACCGGCAAGTGCGTGTCCTGCTCTTCAGAAGTGGAGTGAAGGGTGTGTTCTGTGCGGGTAGGTTCTCTCTCCTACCCCCATCCGGGCTCCGCGCAGTGCCCACCAGCCTCCAGGGGTTGGGGGAAGCCTCAGATCAGCTCCAGTATGGGACTCATTGTTGCCATTTGACAGATGGGAATGCAGACTCGGGGAGGAAAATTCCCTTGCCTAGGATCACATAGCTAGTAAGAGGTAGGATAGACTTTAGTTGGAACTTGGCCCCTCTAACCCTTAGATCCTAGTTATTTCGGCTATGCTATGCTTTGTTCTGACTCTTCACGGGGGAAATAAGAAAATGGAGTCCAAGACGGCTGCAGTGGCTCACGTCTGCAATCCCAGCACTGTGGGAGGCTGAGGCGGGTGGATCACTTGAGGCCCGAGTTAGAGACCAGCCTGGCCAACATGGTGAAACCCCTTCTCTACTAAAAAATACAAAAATTAGCTGGGTATGGTGGCAGGCACCTGTAGTCCCAGCTACTCAGGAGGCTGAGGCAGGAGAATCACTTGAACCTGGGAGGCAGAGGTTGCAGTGAGCCGAGATCACACCACTGCACTCCAGCCTGGGGGAAAAAAAAGAGAGAGAGAAAATGGAGCCCAAAGATGCTCATAAGGTCAGTGGCCAAGATGGAACTCTATGCCCCTTTGCCTACCAATAGGATCTTACTCCCTGTCACCAAAGCCTTCCACTGTCCCTGTGTCATTTGGTCCTCACAACTGGGCGAGCACCATGAACTTCCATTTTAGAGATTGGAGGAAAAATGCACACCAGGCCCACAAGAAGCAAGTCAGCTGCCAGTAGAGCTGAGCTGAGAACAAACTCTGGAGGGTGGCTGGGGAGGGGCCGACAGGGGCCACTGTGGATCAGGAGGGGACTGTGGAGGGATGGGAAAGGGGTAGCATGATGCTCAGGAGATTTCAAGGGGAGGTGGCTCAGCCCTTAGGTCTGAGCTGTCAGGGTCAGGGTGCCCAGCCTGGGGTCTGTGCTGACAAGTGCACAGACCAGTCGGCTTGACCCAGCTGCTCTGCCTGAGGTCTTTACCCTACCCTGGCCTCTTCCTTTGGCTCCATCTCGGACCTCTGTGAAGGTCACGTCACACCTGCTCTCCCCCATTAGCTTCGCTCGTCACTCTCCCAGCTAAGCACAGAGAAGGAAGGGGCTGCATGAGGGTCAGGTCTGCCTCAACTAGCTCTAGAATTCCTGGGCTAGTTCCTGCCCCTCTCTGAGCCTCAGTTTCCCCATCTCTCACAGAAGGGCTGGAACTGATCAAAGACTTCCAAAGGCTCTCCCAGCTCTGACTTCCTGTAGCCTAGGACTGGAAGAGTCTATTTACCCCCTACTCCTGCTCACCCCTGCATCTGGCCTTGGAGCATCTCACCACGGTCACTCTTCCGGCCAAGGCGCTTGCCCACTTGCATGCTGCTGCGTCCTATGCCCGCTTCTGTAAGAAATTGTGGTGAAATATAAATAACACAAAATTGACCATTTTAACTGTTTTTAAGCGTACAATTCAGAGTGGCATTAAGTACATTCACAATATTGTGCAATGTCACCGCTATCCACTCCCAGAAGTTCTTTATCATACCAAACAAACTCAGCCTGTTCAGACAGTGACTCCTTCCCCCTTCCCCTCCAGCCCAGGTAACCTCTGTGGGACTTAGTCTCTATGAATTTATCTATTCTAAATACCTCATACCAGTAGAATCATATCGTATTTGTTTTTTGGTGTCTGGCTTATTTTACTTAACATGTCCTCAAGGTTCCTCCAAGTTGTGGCAAATGTCAGAACTCCATTCCTTTTTACGGAGTAACATTCTATTGTAATGAGTAGCATTCTATTGTGTATATATCACATTTTGTTTACCCAATCATCTGTTGATAGATACTTGGGTTGTTTTCACCTTTGGCCACTACGAAGAATGTCCCCAAGAACATTGGTGTACAAGTACCGTCAGCCCTCCGCATCTGTGGGTTCCGCACCCACAGACTCAGCCAACCTCAGATTGAAGATGTTAATAACAAAAATAACAATGCAACAATAAAAAATAATACAGATAAAAACAACACAGTACAACAGTTTACATAGTATTTACATTGTATTAGAGATGATTTAGAGCAAGCTTGTCCAACCCTTGGCCTCTGGGCCACATGTGGCCCAAGACGGCCTTTAATGTGGCCCAACACAAATTTGTAAACTTTCGCCAGGTGCGGTGGCTCACGCCTGTAATCCCAGCACTTTGGGAGGCCGAGGCGGGCGGATCACGAGGTCAGGAGATCGAGACCATCCTGGCTAATACAGTGAAACCCCATCTCTACTAAAAATACAAAAAAATTAGCCGGGCGTGGTGGTGCGCACCTGTAATCCCAGCTACTTGGGAGGCTGAGGCAGGAGAATGGCGTGAACCCGGGAGGCGGAGCTTGCAGTGAGCCGAGATCGCGCCACTGCACTCCAGCCTGGGCAACAAAGCGAGACTCCTTCTCAAAAAAAAAAAATTTGTAAACTTTCTTAAGACATGAGTTTTTATGGTGTTTTTTTTTTTTTTTTTTAGCTCATCAGTTATCGTTAGTGTATTTTATGTGTAGCCCAAGACAATTCTTGCAATGTGACCTAGGAAAGCCAAAAGATTGAACACCCCTGGCTTAGAGTATACAGGAGGATACATGAGCATAGGTCATATTGCAAATACTACAATATTTTATACAAGGGGCTTAAGCATCTGTGGATTTGGGTATCTGAGGGAGTCCCCGAACCAGTCCCCTACGGATAAGGAGAGACTGTATCTGTTTGAGTCCTTGCTTTCAACTCTTTTGGGTATATACTTAGGACTAGAATTGTGTGGTAATTCTGTTTAACTTTTTGGAACCCACCAGCAATGCACCAAGGTTCCATGTCTCCACATCCATGCCAACTTTTTGTTTGTTTTGAAAGCCATTCTAATAGATGTGAGGTAATATCTCATTGTGGTTTTGGTTTGCATTTTTCTAATGACGATGATATTGAGCAACTTTTCAAGTGCTTATTGACCATCTGTATATCTCCTCTGGAGAAATGTCTATTCAAGTCCTTTTTCCTTTTTTTTTTTTTTTTTTTTTTTTTTTTTTTGAGACTGTTGCCCAGGCTGGAGCGCAGTGGCGTGATCTTGGCTCACTGCAACCTCCGCCTCCCAGGATCACGCGATTCTCCTGCCTCAGCCTCAGCCTCCCTAGTAGCTGGGATTACAGGTGCCCACCACCACACCTGGCTAATTTTTGTATTTTTAGTAGAGACACAGTTTCACCATGTTGGCCAGGCTGGTCTCGAACTCATGATCTCAGGTGATGTGCCCACCTCGGCCTCCCAAAGTGCTGGGATTACAGGTGTGAGCCACTGTGCCTGGCCCTTTGCCCATTTTTGAATTGGATTGTTTTGTTGTTGAGTTGGAGGTGTTCTTTATATATCCTAGATATTAATCCTTTATCAGATACATGATTTACACATATTTTCTTCCATTCTGTGTGTTGTCTTTTCTATTTTTTGAGACGGAGTCTCTCTGGTCACCCAGGTTGGAGTGCAGTTGGCGCGATCTTGGCTCACTGCAGCCTTCACCTCCTGGGTTCAAGTGATTCTCCTGACTGCCACCTGAGTAGCTGGGATTATAGGTGTCTGCCACCATGCCCGGCTGATTTTTGTATTTTTAGTGGAGACAGGGTTTCACCATGTTGGTCTTGAACTACTGACCTCAGGTGATGTACCTGCCTTGGCCTCCCAAAGTGCTAAGATTGCAAGCATGAGCCACTGCACCCAGCCATTTCTGTGGGTTGTCTTTGTATTCTGTTGATAGTGTCCTCTGATGCACAGAAGGTTTCTGTTTTGATGGAGTCCAGTTCACCTTTCTGCTGTCATACCCTCGTTTGATGCTGCTCTTTTCCCTTGACTTCCTTGCCCGGGTTCCTGGTGTTTCTCCTTCCTCGCTGGCTGCCTGTCCTCAGGTCTTCTTTGCTGGATCCTTTAACCGCCTGGGATTCCGTAAAGTGCCATTTTCCTGAGGGCTGGTACCAACCCCTTGCCATCTGCAGGTGCAGACCTGAAGGAGCGGGAACAGATGAGTGAAGCAGAGGTGGGGGTGTTTGTCCAGCGACTCCGGGGCCTGATGAATGACATCGGTGAGGATCTGGGTGTGGGGTGGAGGAGGGGGTTTGGGGTCCCTGCCGATGACAGCCCCGCCACCCCACCAGCATCTAAGGAGAGTCTTCTTTCTGTTGGGAGTTCTGTGGGAAGACAGATGCCTCTCCCAGGGGGTTGGGGGAGGATGACAGAGGGCAATTCTCCCAGAGAAGGAGCTCTGGCTCTTCAGCTTTTGTGTCTACCCTCAGGGTTCAAGCCTGGCCATTCCAAAGCAAGTCAGTTTCCCCAAGCATGCTTTCAGGCTTTGACAACTGCTGTTCCCTTTGCCTGGGATACCCCTTCTTGGTTACTTGAACTTTTACTCATCCTTCAAGCCCCCGAGTATCTCCTCCTCCAGGAAGCCTTCCCAACCCACCCTCCGAGCTTCCTTTTATTGGAGCACTGATGATCCTGGGTCACTAATGCCTGATACACTTTGTCTTCCCCATGAGACTGAGCCCCATGGGAACAAGGGCTATGTCTGATTCATTCAGTGTTCCCAGTTCCTAGCACCCAGCACAGGGCTTGGCACACAGAAAGGCAGGTGCCAGGGAGGCCAGCAGATTAGGCCTACACAGGCATCATCCAGCCCATCCTCTCATTCCTGTTCCCTGGCTGATTCCATAACTTTCCCTAAAGGGAAAATTGGCTTCTAAGATAACCTGGCTGCGGGAAGCAGAGGTCGCAGTGAGCTGAGATTGTGCCACTGCACTCCAGCCTGGGCGACAACAGCAAGACTCCTCTCAAAAAAAAAAAAAAAGAGGACAGGCACAGTGGCTCACGCCTGTAATCCCAGCACTTTGGGAGGCCGAGGCTGGCGGATCACGAGGTCAGGAGTTCAAGACCAGCCTGGCCAACATGATGAAACCCTGTCTCTACTAAAAACAAACAAACAAAATTAGCCGGGTGTGGTGGCGCACCTCTGTAATCCCAGCAACTCAGGAGACTGAGGCAGGAGAATCACTTGAACCTGGGAGGCAGAGGTTGCAGTGAGCCAAGATCGCGCTACTGCACTCCAGCCTAGGTGACAGAGCAAGACTCCGTACCAAAAAAAAATTAAACAAATAAATAATAAGGTAATCTGGCTGAGGCTCCATGTAATGTCCCCAGACCTAGGTCCACTGAGGCCTGTGTCCCAACCAGCTTTCCCTTCCCCAGCCTTGAGTCTCTGTCCTGGTCCCACCAGGGCCTCGCAGGCTGAGCCCTTCTTCCTCTCCACAGCAGCCTTCCCTGCACCCACCATTGCGGCTATGGATGGGTTTGCCTTGGGCGGAGGCCTGGAGCTTGCCCTGGCCTGTGACCTCCGAGTGGCAGGTACTGGGCCAGGACTGGGGGCAGAGGGTGGGGCTAGGGAGTTGGGGGTGAGTGCAACAGGGTGAGTCTGGGCACTCTGCAGTCAGCCACTGTTCTTGGCTTCAAACCAAAAGCAAAACTAAGGCAAGGCAGGGCACAGAGGGTGCTCAGGCAGAAGCTGCTTCCCCTCCTGGTACAGCCACTAACTGCTGTAGTATCTGTGACCTGTCAGAACCTGTCTCCTTCATTTTGGGAATATTTGACCAACCTCAGAGCAATTGCTCTTAGGAGCCAAGGAGGTCAAAGAGCAATGTCCAATCCTCCCATTCTGTCCAAGTCAGACTTACCTGCCATGTTTCAGAAACAGGTGAGCCCCAGGGATAGTTTGTCAATGGCTGAGTTCATCACAAAGGTGCCTGGGCAGGAATACTGGCACCAGCCAAATTTGCATTACTTGTTCTGAGCAATTAAGCTTTGTTTGAAGAGTGGGAGGGGACAAAGAAGATAACTGGATCATTTTTTCAGGTGACTGACCTGGTGATTAGGAGCAGCCTTCTTGGATGCAGTTAGGCAAAGTCTGAATGTCCTCTCTTCTCCCCCCACCTGCTCTCTCCTGCCACCCCAGGAGACATGTAAAAATGTGTAACTCCAGGCATGAAAGTCGCTTCTGTCTACACAATGCAGATCAAAGAGAAGGAACTGACCAGGTGTCCAGGCACCAAAATACCAGGCTGGTCTAGCCCCAACTCTGCTTCTCACATGCCCATGTTCAGGCGATTGACTCACATGGTTTGGGGAAGACTACGAGGGAGTCCATGTAAAACCCACTCCCTTCTGCCCACGTTCACATGGCCCGTGCTGAGGGAATTCAGAAAAGGAGACAGAACTGGGGGCGTGCGTCAGTCAAGGCAAGTTTCTTGAAGGAAGGAAGCAAAAACTCAGGAGGACACGGACTGGAACAGTCAGGGCAATTTCAGGCTGTGACAAAGCTGGGAGAGACAACCGTAGCAGGAGCAGGAGTCACTGACACTCTAGGTCAGGCCAGGGCTAAGCCAGAGAACCTATTAATAGTAATCCACAAATCGGTATGGGGCACTCCTGGGAACTCTCTGCTCCCAGCGTCGTACCTTGCGTGATCTTTAGCAGCTCTCTGAAGCAGACAGAAGAGGGCCAGCCATCTTTCTTCCACCTTTGAGGCTTGGGAAGGGTGAGAGACTTGCTAGTGACACAACTCCACCAAAGGGGTGTGGTGAGATAAGGGCCTGGGCTCCTGACTTCTGGGCTAGGGCTCTTCCAAAGGCATAGTCTGGAGAGTCCTGGCTGTGGCCAGACCATGGGGGAAGTGGCTAGAGTAGAGAGCAGAGGCAGGTGCGGTCCCAGGGATTAGCACTGAGGGACCGGATGGGGAGGGAGGCCTCACTCTGTTCTATCTGAGCAGCTTCCTCGGCCATCATGGGACTGATTGAGACCACGCGAGGGCTCCTCCCGGGGGCAGGTAATTGGAACTACAGCACCTGCCCAAATCTACCCCAGCAGGGTCCTTCGCTGCTTTCCTTTTTTGCCCTCTGTTCCGGGCTCTGCCCTCCTATCTGAACTCTGCTCCTCTGAGAAGTCTTGGCTGAGTCCCAGCCTGGGCCTTCTCTGGGTTCCCACTTCCCATGCTGATTCACACCCTGCCCCCTCCATCCTGGCAGGAGGGACTCAGAGGCTGCCACGCTGTCTGGGGGTGGCCCTGGCGAAGGAGCTCATCTTCACGGGCCGACGACTTAGTGGAACAGAGGCCCACGCACTGGGGCTGGTGAATCACGCTGTGGCCCAGAACGAGGAGGGTGACGCCGCCTACCACCGGGCACGAGCACTGGCCCAGGAGATCCTGCCCCAGGTGTGGTGACAGCTCGGCACCGCAGGGAGGGCCGGAGTCATGGGGGAGGCAAGTGTCGGGCAGGGTGCCCCTTGGGCTGCACTTCCATTCACCCAGAGACATATGATTAGCCTTCTTCAGAGTTTAACGATCCAGTAAACACAAGTCAAATTTTAATTCTGAATTAAAATGTAATGTAAATGGAATTCCAAAGGACTGGAACCAAATGGGCTTGAAAGCCCTCCGAATGTAACACTGTCCAGTAGACCATTCTGAGATGAGATAAATGGTCTATACTTGTGCTTATCCAGTATGGGAGCCACTAGTCAAAAGATTTAAATTAGAGAAAATGAGTGTAGTTCCTCATTCACACTAGCCACATTTCAAATGCTAATAGCCACATGTGGCTTGTGGCTACTATACTGTATAGCACAGCCTTAAACCCCAAAGACTGAAAAGCAAGATTCTAAAATGGATGCAGAACTTCCAACCCATATTTCCTACCATACTGCCTGCTGGAGATATTCTTGAAATACAACATGCAGGACATGTATTAAGCTTTTTTTTTTTTTGAAGAGACAGGGTCTCACTCTGTCATCCAGGCTGGAGTGCAGAGGTGCAATCATGGCTCACTGCAGTTTTAAACTCCTGGACTCAAGTGATCCTCCCGCCTCAGCCTCCCAAAGTGTTAGAATTACAAGCATGAACCACCGTGCCTGGCCAGGATTCATTTTTTAGCCAGATGTGGTAGTTTGAGCCTGTAATACCAGTTATTTGGGAAAAAGCATTGCTTGAACCCATGAATTTAAAGCTGCTACTGCAGCTCTGTGTAAGCTGGTCATACCACTGCACTTCCAGCCTGGCCAACAAAGTGAAATCCCATTGCTAAAAACAAACAAAAAGCAAAAAAACAACCAAAAAAACACCTTCATTAAAGAAATCCTCAAATAGCATGGGAGGGGGTGAGGGATAAAAGACTACACATTGGGTACAGTGTACCAAAATCTTAGAAATACCACTAAAGAACTTATCCATGTAACCAAAAGCCACCTGTTCCCTAAAATCTATTGAAATAAAAGAAAAAAATTAAAAAATCCTCAAATAATAACCTCTCAGCATGGTACCCCAAAAAGCTACCATGCCCTCAGCAGGGATATCTGGGATCTGGCTGTCTGGGGTCTCCAAGGCCCTGCGAGGGTCTGCTGGCTTCTCCCAACTCTAAGGGGACCCAGGATAGAGGGGGTTGAGTAGAGGAAATCCCAAATTTCCATAAAGATTAAAAGTGGCTGAAATGGAGCTAGGTTAGACTAATTTATAATAAATTTGTCTTAGCCTACAATGCTAGGTGCCTTAATACAGTGTCTCAACTCTTAGAACAATCCAGTTGAGTTGATTATCCCCATTTTATTTGTGAGAAAACCCATAAAAGTTCAGTGACTTGCTCATCAAGATCACAAAGAGTGATTGCAGTATTAGAAAAAAAACAACACTGGTATTTTGGCATTTATTTTGCACAATACAGAATGCAATATAAAAAAGGTATTTTAAGAGAGTAAGCTAGGTGTGGTAGCTCACCCTGTAATTCCAACACTTTGGGAGGCTGAGGCAGGTGGATCACCTGAGGTCAGGAGTTCGAGACCAGCCTGGCCAACATGGTGAAACCCCGTCTCTACTAAAAATACAAAAATTAGCCGGGCATGGTAGCATGTGTCTGTAGTCCCAGCTATTTGGGAGGCTGAGACAGGAGAATCACTTGAACTCAGGAGGCGGAGGTTACAGTGAGCTGAAATCGTGCCACTGCACCCTAGCCTGGGCGACAGAGTGAGACTGTCTCAGAATTAAAAAAAAAAAAAAAAAGTAAAATATGTACAAAATTTTAAAAACTGAAACTAAATATTTAATGCATTTCAAATATAAACATTTACAAACATATCACAAAACAAAGTTAACCATACATCATTTTAATATTGACGTATATTGAATTAATCATACAAAAGTAACCATTTTGGCTTGGCATGGTGGCTCAAGCCTATAATCCCAGCACTTTGGGAGGCTGAGGCGGGGGGATTGCTTGAGACCAGGGGTTCTAGACCAGCCTGGGCAACATAGTGAGACCTCACTTGTATTAAAAAAGAAAAGAAGCTGGGCACAGTGGCTCATTGCTGTAATCCCAGCACTTTAGGAGGTCAAGACAGGCGGGTCACTTGATGCCAGGAGTTTGAGACCAGCCTGGCCAACATGGCAAAACCCCGTCTTTACTAAAATTATAAAATTTAGCTGGGCATGGTGGCTCATGCCTGTAATTACAGCTACTCAGGAGGCTGAGGCATGAGAATCACTTGAGTCCGGCAGGTGAAGGTTGCAGTGAGCCAAGATCGTACCACTGCACTCCAGCCCAATTGACAGAGCAAGATTGTTAATAAAATAAAATAGTATAATTTTGAACAAAAATCCTTTCTTTCCTGTCTCTTAAATGTAAATAATCCTAATACTTCTTAAAACAGATCTTCTTTAATTTGGGGGTCAGGGACTATAGCTTTTTGAAAGCATTTGTCTTTTTTATTTTTTTAAGTTTCATCATATATAAATGAAGAGTCTGATGCTGTTGCCTAGACAATATTAATGCTGTCAGGTTTCTATTACACTTGGTTAGAAAGTCTCTGAACTAATACAGAACTCCGGGTCACTCAAGGGAGTGTCTGATTGTCTGATTACAGCTTTCACACCTAGACCTATAGACTATAGGGTTTGTCTTTTTGCATTAACTAAATAACAATCACAAAACAATTCAGATTTCCAAATATACTGAAATAATGGTACTATATAATTACTGATATTTTCAGTACTTAAAAGTAGCTTTGTATACCAAAACACCAGTCTACCAAAAACAAGTACTGGCGTGAGTAATCCCACAGTTGAGACCTTCTGGTCAACCTGAAAAACAAAACTTCAACTTCCACCTATGTTACTGGGTGCTCAGAATAAAGGTTTCCAGATAGGTGGGAGCCAGGGATAGTGTAGATGGCCACCATCTAGTGGACAAATCACTCTGATAGGGTAGCAAATGGTTCCAGAGTTTTCTCAGCCCAGAAAAAAACTGTCAATATCCTCAGTTTGCATCAGATTTCTTTCTTAAATAGTAAATACACATTACACTTTGAGAAATGGATTCGGCTGTGTTTTTTAATTTTCTTTTTAGAGACAGGATCTTGCTCTGTTGCCCAGGCTGGAGTGCAGTGGCACGATCATAGCTCACTGCAACCTTGAAGCCCTGGGCTTGAGCCATCCTTCCACCTCAGCCTCTGAATAGCTGGGACTACAGGTGCAAGCTACTGACTTGGCTAGAATTTGGCTGTTTTCACTCACAAACATATGTACATACTATTTTTAACGTTCTTTAATTAAAGGGTACTTTTTTTCTTTTTTTTTTGCCCAGGCTGGAGCACAGTGGCATGATCACAGCTCACTGGAGCATTGACCTCCCAGGCTCAAGTGATCCTTCCACCTAAGCCTCCTGAGTAGCTGAGACTACAGGTGCAAGTCACCACGCCCAGCTAATTTTTTATTTTTTGTAGAGATGGGATCTCACGGTGATGCCCAAGGCTGGTCTCAAACTCTTTGGGCTCAAGCAATCCTCTGCCTCAGCCTCTCAAAGCCCTGTGATTACAGGCGTGAGCCACAGCACCTGGCTAAGATTACTTTATTGGGTAGTTACCTAAATAATCATCCATATGGCAAGCAAATCTAAAAGAACAGAGGAGTGAGAAGGGCATAAGGTAAAAATCAAAGGCAAGGCGACCAGCTAGTCCTGGTTTACCTGTGGCTATCCCAGTTTTAAAAGTGGAAGTCCCACATCCCAGTAACCCTTCAGTCACAAGCCAACCCAAACAGCCCTTCATTCCCCAATCCCTCTCTCCCCCCAGATCATCACTATTAAGCTTCCATACTCTTCCAGAAATTTCCATTGCATATGGAAGGACGTGTATTATGCACATATGCTTACATATTTAAATAAATTCCTTTTAATGACTTAGAGGACAAGAAATATCTTTCGAGGCTAATCTGGTTCTAACAAATTTTAAATATGCATAGTAAAGAATTCACACATGGAAGAATAGAAAACAAAACCTTCATTTTATATAACAAAACATTTATAAACCTTCATTTATAAAATGAAACAGCCGGGCGCGGTGGCTCAAGCCTGTAATCCCAGCACTTTGGGAGGCCGAGACGGGCAGATCACGAGGTCAGGAGATCGAGACCATCCTGGCTAACATGGTGAAACCCCGTCTCTACTAAAAAATACAAAAAACTAGCCGGGCGAGGTGGCGGGAGTCTGTAGTCCCAGCTACTTGGGAGGCTGAGGCAGGAGAATGGCTAAACCCGGGAGGCGGAGCTTGCAGTGAGCTGAGATCCGGCCACTGCACTCCAGCCTGGGTGACAGAGCGAGACTCCGTCTCCAAAAAAATAATAATAATAAAAAATAAATAAATAAATAAAACGAAACAAAGGTTTTGTTTTCTATTCTTCCCTACCCTTTTTTAGGGTACATTTAACCAGTACCCCAACACTAAACCTTTCTGTTGTTCCTATCTTTTTGCTACCACAAGACAGGTGGAGTTAATATAAAAGTGCCTACAGGAGCCACAGCTCTGAGAAAGCATGCACACCAGCATTTTTCCAGTTTTTGCCAAATTGCTCTCCTGAGGCATACTCTTTTACTTTTCTATCAATAATGTATGTAAATACTGGTTTCCCCAGTCTCGGCAGTAGTAGGCCTATTGCTATTTTAGTATTTGCTGGTCTGAGGTGAAAGGGCACAGTACCTCACTGTTTTGCCGTTCAAGCATGTAGCTGCTGGACATCCTTCATGTTCATATTTCTTTTCCGGTGAAGGACCTTTACATACGCTTTTGTAAATGGTTTAAAAGTTACTTTATACTAACATGTTTGTAAATCAAGGACATTCATCTGTCATAAGCATTATAATTCTTTTTCCCAGTTTTTTTTTTTTTCTAGATAGAGTTTCACTCTGTCACCCATGCTCAAGTGCAGTGGCCCGATCTCAGCTCACTGCAGCCTCTGCCTCCTGGGTTTAAGCATCCCGCCTCAGCCTCCCATATACCTGGGATTACAGGGGCCCACCACGATACCCGGCTAATTTTTGTATTTTTATTAGAGATGGGGTTTCGCCATGTTGGCCAGGCTGGTCTCAAACTCCTGACCTCAAGTGATCCACCCGCCTTGGCCTCCGAAAGTGTTGGGATTACAGGCGTGAGCCACCGCACCCAGCCGTTTTTCCCAGTTTTTTACTTTTGTCTTTTATTCGCGGTGTTTTTCCCAATTGGAAGTTCTTCATTTTTATGTAGCTAGCTTTTTCATTTATAGTTTTTATGCTAATATACTTTAAAAATTGACTTTTCCTGAGCAAGTTTTAAACACTTCAAATAATATGATGTAGGGAGTAATTCCTCCTTGCCTGGAAGTGGGGCTGAGACTGGAGCGCTAGGGCTGGTGTGGAACCAAGGCCAGTGACAAAGCAGACACTGTTGCTTCTCTGTGGCTGTATTAAAACGCACCCACCCCCACCCCTGCACCACCCAGCAGACCAGGATTTCACCTCAGCCCTGTCGACTGGAAAGCCCAGGCTCCTACCCCTGACTTTGTTTCACTCTGCTGGCGTCAGACCTGCTTACCACAGAGGCTGGCATTTGCTGAAATGAGGTTGAGGAAGTGGGAAAGCTGGCTGGGAGTCCAATCCAAGTCTCACCAATGATTGGATAAACACAGCCAAGTGCTTCACTTCCCTGTACTGCAATCTCCCAGCTGTAAAATGGGTGATCAGTGATGACACCAGCTGGAAGTGTGGGTAGCACCATTAGATGAGTCCGTGGGGAGGAAAGCACTTTATAAACTAGTTATGTTGTGCATGTTGGAAGGACACCTGAAACCCAGGTGTTCAGGGTCAGAGGCTGGCTTATTTCATGATGGAAAAAGAACCTCAGCTAACAGGTTATAGGACTAACGCTAAAGAAATTACGTGTCAGTAGAATGGCTGGAACTAGACCCAGACATCTGCCTCCCTCCTTCAAAACAAAGCTGTGCACCTCAGACCTGCAACTATCAGCCGTGAGCCCCTCCTCAACCAAGACTTTGCTTTTCCCCAGGCCCCCATTGCTGTGCGGCTGGGCAAAGTAGCCATTGACCGAGGAATGGAGGTGAGAGCGTTTTGGGTTGGGACTTGGGGCCACTGAAGTTGGTCATGGCTGGGACGCAGTGCTTTCAGAGCTCAGACAGACTGACAGCACAGCTGGAAAGAACTCAGGAAGTGGACTCTTCTAACAGACTTTGACCTCGCTCTCTACCCCAGTTTAACCATCTGCAAACTGGAAGTTTGGCCAGATGATATTATTGTTTACATTCTATCCTCATCTTTCTCCCTTGGAGAGAGGAGGAGTGAGGTTCAGAAGGGGTAAATGACTTGCCCAAGGTCTCAGAGGAAGTGAGTAGGAAGAACCCGGGTCCGTGTGGCTCCCAGTCCATGCGGCAAGGTTTGTGCTGGCAGTCAGTAATGTGGCCTCAGGACAGGGCTTGGGGTGATGCCTTGGGTGTGGCTGATCCATCTGCCCACCTCAACTCACCCATCCATTCACTCATCACATACTGAATCCAGACCAAAGCTGGCAATTGGGATACAGATAGATGAGTTAAACATGGTCACTGCCCCCAAGATGGGAGGGGGCAGCTACAGACACAAATCTAGGATAATGGCACCATGCTGACACCCCCAGAGAGGTTAGAGCTTTGTGGTCCATTATGATAGCCACGTGTGGCTTTTAAATTAAAAGTAAAATGCTCAATTTCTCCTTCCCACTAATCACAGTTCAAGTACTTGACAGCCACATGTGGCTAGTGGCTACCATACTGGGCAGTGCTGGGTTAAAGAATGTTTTCTACAGTTGGACTGTGGGAAGGATAAGAATTCCAGAGGAAGAGTATGAGCAAAGGCACAGAGGAGGATAAGCAAGCAGCTCGACCAGATGAGAGTGAGGGAAGAGGACTGTGTGCAAGTTCGAAGCACTGGCACTGGGCTGTCTGGGTTCAGAGACCTGCTCTTCCACATACTGTTGTGAACTTCAACAAACTATTTCACCTTTCTATGCCTCAGGTTTCTCAGCTGTAGAATAGGGACACTAACCCTTGCTGTGAAAATTAAGTTCACGCACACGGTACTTCTCTTAGAACGAGGCTTTTAAGTGCCAGTCAGTGAGCCCTAGAGGCTGGAGCAATTGCCAGGGGCGAGGTCATAAAGGTCCAGGAATTAACAGGGGTGACAGGAAGCGTGGTGAGGCAGCCAGATGGGAAGGGGGAACACTGAACTCCTCTGGCAAAATGTCTCAGTCTGTCTGGTTTCTCCCAGCACTGTTTTGTCAGAGTTATGGTGTTCCTTCTCTAGGAGGGGAATTCCTTCTCATAGCTATCTCTGCTCACATAGATGTCTGTAGGTAACAGGGTGGGCTGGCTTCCAGTGTGGGTGAAGATGGACAAGGTCAGACCAATCCAGGGAGCACTTCTTTCCTGCAGGTGGACATTGCATCTGGGATGGCCATTGAAGGGATGTGCTATGCCCAGGTATGTAGCCCATGCCTGCTTGTTAACATAGGCTGGGCCAGGCTGGAGGGACTTTGTATAATACATGACCAATTTAGAAGGTTCCTCTCAACACAGTCTGACCGCATCCATCCTCCCGCATAAGTCACCTGGAGTGGCTTGAGGAGAGCCACAGTGCTTCTCTCTGGGACTTTTCCCTCAACCATCTAATGTATTGGGGTACATCCTGCCCACTTAATGCCGAGAATCACAGAACACAGGTCCTTAAGAGGAAGAAGCACTTCTTTTGCCTCTGTATCAGTTGCCACTGTAAAGGCCAGGCTGGAGTTGGGAGGTCAAGGGCTTGGTTGTAGCCTGCAAGCTGTGTTCAATGTAAGGGTGTACACTTGGGACTGACCTCTTAAATCTCTTACTCATGGGTGAGTAAAAAATGCTAATCTCCAGGTTAACAGATACCCAAAATACTCCTAAGGGGTGCTGGGACTTGGAGAAACTAGTGTGAACCTGGATTAAAAGCCAGATTTCTTACTGTAAAGAATTTTTCTTCTCTACTGAGCAGCCTCATGTCAGACACTGCAGAAGGCAGTGAGCTCTCTGGAGGCATGAAAGCATGAAAGCAGTGTGCAAGGGGAGGCTAATGCCGATGGGGCGCAGAGATACAAAGGCGGGCCTGTCTTCCCCAGGAGACAAAGCAGCCACAGAGGCTTACACCTTTGCATGCCTCAAGACCAGAGTCCAGAGACAATGGAAACACTTGGACCCTGGCTTTGTCATGGGCTGGACAAGCTTAAGCAACTCTTTCTGGGCCTCCGGCCCTGCTCCCCCAAAACTAATATTTTGTACCTTGTTGCAGAACATTCCAACCCGGGACCGGCTAGAGGGCATGGCAGCCTTCAGGGAGAAGCGGCCCCCCACATTTGTTGGTGAATGACCCCCACTTTAACCTTCAGCTTGGGAGATGCATGCCCTGAAGAGCAGGATCCAGAAGGAAGATTTGTGGCCGGACTGCCTTCATTATTTCACCTCTCCAGGCTTCCGTTTCTTCACAAGGATGATGATGGAGATAAAATGACTGGCGTGATGCCTAGAACCAAGGTGCTGATCCTACCACCTACTGCTGCCTTCCTTAGCTTCACCCTGGCTAGAAATAATCACGAGGGTTGGGTTTGCTTTGGAAAATGCCTGTCTCGCTACTTGAATGATAAAGAATTAAATTAGATCTCTCTGAGTCTTGGTCTCATTGGCTCTCAGCCCCTGACCTCTCTCAGTTATCAGGCACTCACTGACTAGAGCTGTCAAAAGATTTTAAGGTACCCCTAGTTTCTTCCTGTGGACAACAGAGGTAATAAATAAACTCTGACATTGGTTGAACATGTGTCAGGAGTCAAACTGCAGATCCCAGTCTCTGCCAGTTACTTGCTGTATAACCTCGGACAAATTGTTTAAACGCTCGGGGCCTCAGCTTCCTCACCCACAAAACAAAACTTGTGAAGATTTAGCAAAATAAAAACACTTCATAGTCAATAAATACATTTTAATTGTTAACTTACAGTGTTTTTGTGAGAACCAAATGAAATCATCACTGTGAAACCCTTTGTAAACTATAGGGTGGCAGAAAAATCTTTTTATTTTTTGAGACAGGGTCTCACTCTGCCACCCAGGATCCAGGCTGGAGCGCAGTGGTGTGATCTCAGCTCACTGAAGCCTCCACTTCCCAGGCTCAAGTGATCCTCCCACCTCAGCCTCTGGAGTAGCTGGGACTATAGGTGTATACCACCATGCCCAGCTAATTTTTGTATTTTTTGTAGAGACAGGATTTCGCCATGTCACCCAGGCTGGTCTTGAACTGCTAGGCTCAAGCAATTCACCCACCTAGGCCTCCAAAAGTGCTGGGATTACAGGTGTGTGCCACTACACCTAGCCTCCAGGAGACTCTTTCATAGCAGTTAGGAGCACTGAGAAGAAGGGGGCAACTAACTCTAATGGAAAGAAGGGAGGATCAGGAAATGGGCAAGTAACACTGGAATTGAAGCCTGAAGGATTAAGGAACATTTCAAGGACAGAAGAGGAAGTTTGACATAGCATAAGCAAAGGTGAGGAAGAGGTTGATACACTTAGAAAACCAAGAGCAGGCTGATACATAACCATACTGGTCCCAGTACCCCTCCCTCTTCTGGTACCAAGGCTACATCTTAAGCTATGGCCTTGCAGTCATCCTCCAACTGGATCTGAGCTCTGGCTAAGCTGAGCCTGGGCCTGGCCTAGAGTCACTAAACCATGGGCATGGATACAATGTAAATAACATTGCCGATTTCTGCAAAATACAAATGTGCTCCCAGGGTTATGCTTGCATCCTGGAAGGAAGAGTAACACAGGAGAGCCCAGGCCTTTACAGTCAGCACAAACCACACCAGCTATGACAACCCAGGAAACTCACCACCTTACTGAACTTCCTTTTTCTCATCTGTTAAGTGAGGAAAATAAAACTCACCTACCCATGAGGATTGTTGTGAATGACACAGAACTTGAAGGGCTGTCTTGTACAGAATTGGACTTAACACACTGGTTCCCATAACACGTCCTCACATCAGCATAAGCTAGCATCTGATAACAATGTTCTGAAGTGCTGGAACCCAGGTCAGGAAGATACCCTTTTGGAATCATGCAAGAGTGTGAAAAAATACAGTACAGTTTAAGGACTATGGAAGGAAGTAAGGTTACAAATTCTGCTTATCTGGTTGGACTCTGGTAATAGTTTGGAACATGGTTTAGAATAAGAACAAGCTTCTTCCTCATTTGAGGAACTAGAGTACATGGTACTCTAGTTAAGAATCTGAACCAAGCCAGCTAAAAGCACAAAAATCTAGTCTTAAAATGTGCTAATCAACAAAACCTTACTTTTATTTTCTGAAAAACTTAAACAGATAAATGACAAAATATGTTCATTAACAGTCAACAATAAGGCGAGGAAGGAATTCACACTCTATTCCTCAAAGCAGCTCCGCAGGGCTTGTGAAACAAGCTTCTGATACAGTTTATACTGTAGTTGAAGCTGGTTTCAGAAAAGCTTCATGCTGGGTAAGAAAACTCGGTGAACTCTTTGGCAAAGTCTCTTTCTGGCCTTTCCTCTTCTGCCAGTTTTGGTCATGGTCCCACCCAAATAAAATGGAGGGATTCAGATTTATCATTACATACAATCTTTCATCTAAACACTGCCTGCAAATGCAGAAGTCCCACCATGCCCTACAAGCTCACTCACATACACAGCATGTCATGTTCACATAACAGGAAACATGCCAAAGATAGACACCCAAAATTGTAAAAAAAAAAAAAAAAAAAAAGGCCAGGTGCAGTGACTCACACCTGTAATCCCAGCACTTGGGGAAGCCAAGAAGGGCAGATCACGAGGTCAGGAGTTCAAGACCAGCCTGACGAATACGGTGAAACCCCGTCTCTACTAAAAAATGTAAAAATTAGCTGGATGTGATGGCATGTGCCTGTAGTCCCAGCTACTCAGGAGGCTGAGGCAGTAAAATTGCTGGAACCTGGGAGGCGGAGGTTGTAGTGAGCCGAGATAGAACCACTGCACTCCAGCCCGGGCGACACAGTGAGACTCCGTCACACACACACACAAAAAAGTAAAAGAATATATTTCTCTTTCCTCCACCCCTCTATTCTTTTGACATGAGGTCTCACTCTGTCATCCAGGATGGAGTGCAGTGGTGCAATCTCGGCTTACTGCAACCTCTGCCTCCTGGGCTCAAGTAGTCCTCCCACCTCAGCCTCCAAGTAGCTAGGAGTAAAGGTGCACACCACCACGCCCAGCTAGTTTTTGTATTTTTTGGTAGAGACGGAGTTTCGCTATGTTGGCAAGGCTGATCTTGAACTCCTGAAGTCAGACAATCCACCCGCCTAGGCCTCCCAAAGTGCTGGGATTACAGGCGTGAGCCACCACACCCGGCCGCAGATAAATAAATAAATAAATTCTTTTTCCCCCCTCTCCAACAGGGGGTCTGCCTTCTAAACACCACATTGTCAAGCATATGCTTCCCACGCTTTTCTCATAGCTTCACATGACGATAACAACTAAGGAAATTTAATATAAATATCAAAGTCTCCCTGTAGGTCTTTCTTTTCTCTTCTAGGGGAACAGGTCCTGCTCCCATGACAAGTTCCCAAAGTGAAAAAATTGTCCAGGGCTAGAGAAAAGTAACTGGCATAGCTGTTCCAACACAAGCTCCCAGGTCTTCCCAGAGTCCACAGTTTGAGTCTTCAAAATTGCTGCTGAAAGGCTGCAGAATGAGTCCAACCTGACTTGGGATTATGGCTATCATACAAATCCAACCTTTTGTAACATATATAAAATCAACAATCAAAGGCCAATGAGACAGCCAACTCACAAACTCCAATGACAACTGATGTGCAATTACTGCCAGGGCAGAACACCGGACACTGAGGAATAGTGCAGACCTCTTAGTCCCTTAGGTTCAGAAGGGCATTTGACACAGAGTGGGCCTCTGATAATTCATGAAATGCATTCTGAAGTCGTTCAGAATGGAGGCTGCAATCTGCTGTGCTTGGGGAGTTGCCTCACTGTGCTCCTGGATATCACACAAAAGCTGCAATCCTTCTTCTTCAACTAACATTTTGCAGTATTTGCTGGCTGAAAGAAAATCAAGCAGAGACACTCCATGGACAACTGGCATTTTAAATATTCCCATGTCACCACATTCACCTTGCTGAAGAAAGAATACGAAGGTTTAAATGCTTTGGTCTAGGAATTAACAGATAAAATGAGTCAATCAATTCTAAAGCAGTACGTCAAAACTTAAATAATGCTTGGCTTGTATGAGATAAGAGTTGCTCATTTTGGTATGTTTACTTCCAGAAAACTCAAGCATTTTTTTTTTTTTTTTTTTTTTTTTTGAGACAGAGTTTTACTCTTGTTGCCCAGGCTGGAGTGTAGTGGCGCAATCTCAGTTCACTGCAACCTCCACCTCCCAGGCTCAAGCAATTCTCCTGCCTCAGCCTCCCAAGTAGCTGAGATTATAGGCATGCGCCACCACACCTGGCTAATTTTTTTTGTATTTTTGATAGAGATGAGTTTCACCATGTTAGTCAGGCTGGTGTTGAACTCCTGACCTCAGGTGATCCACCCGCCTCGGCCTCCCAAAGTGTTGGGATTACAGGCGTGAGCCACTGCGCCTGGCCCAAACATCTTTAATCCTAGTTAAATGATGTTGAAAATACCAGATGTTAAATAAAATATAATTCATAAATGTTTTAATGCATAGATGAATGTACAAACTAAAGGAATGTTCCAGGAGCTGGAAACAAAGAGCACTTCAGCTAGTGTAAGCTAACCTGCAGCTAAGCCTGCGGCAGAAAGAAACTGGTGGTCTTAGTAATCAAGGCATTTAAATTTCAGCTTGCAGAGTTGGAGGCAAAATCCATACATAAAAGTAGACCCACAAAGGGCTAGATAAGAGAAGGGATAAGATACTGAAGCATCTCTGTCCTAGATGGGGCTGTAGGGGTATACGAGAGTAGGAGAGGAGAAATCTTCTCATGATCACAATCCCAAGTGGGTAATAAGGTTTGAATTTACACTACCTGAATGTTGCTGAGAAATTAATATAAAAAATCTAGCACAAGCCTAGGGAAACCTCTGGAGCACTTCACAGAAGCGAATACAAAACTGCCACAGGGACACGCCAATCCAGTCTAAAATGAATTCTCAGAAAAACAAGCCCTGATAAAGTTGACTTCACAATCCAAAACTGCCCCCACTCAACATAACACACATAATAAGATCAGATAAAGACTACAAAATAATTACTTTTAAAGAAGAAAAAAACAGGAATATCTGAAAAAGCAGCAAATAAAACATTCAGACATTTAAAAATGTATCACTGAAATTAAAGACTTAGTCCAAGAGCAGATTCAGAGCCAGTTGGCCGGGTGCAGTGGCTCACGCCTGTAATCCCAGCACTTTGGGACGCTGAGGTGGGTGAATCGCCTGAGGTCAGGAGTTTGAGACCAGCCTGGCCGACATGGTGAAGCCCCGTCTCTACTAAAAATACAAAAAAGTAGACGGGCATAGTGGTGGGCCTCTGTAATCCCAGCTACTCAGGAGGCTGAGGCAGGAGAGTGGCTTGAACCCGGGAGGCAGAGGTTGCAGTGAGCTGAGATCATGCCACTACACTCCAGCCTGGGCAACAAGAGCGGAACTCTGTCTCAAAAAAAAAAAAAAAAAGAAATAAATAAATAAAAGAAAAAGATTTAGACCCAGTTAAAGAGAAATAGGCCAGACATAGTGGTTCATTCCTGTAATCCCAGTGCTTTAGGATGCCTGGGCAGGAGGATCAAGGCAATGTAGTGAGACCATGTCTGT